CCAAAACTGCTTGCTCACCAACTCTCCCTTCCCCCTTCCCATGGGCCAGAACTCATACATTATGGTGTTGGTGAGGACCAGAACACCAAGATAGAAAGAACTGGAGTTTTGGATAACATTGTGGTACAAAGCAGACTTCCCATCCTGGACCTCCTGCCTACATCTTAACTGTTTTGTGAGAAATAAATAAGTTTCCATCTTATTTACACCATTGTCTTTTGGAGTCACTGCTACAAGTAGCTTGACATGTGTATCATAAGTAATACATTTATCAATCACATTTACTGTTCTCCCACTTTAGTCCAACAAGATTTCATCTATAGGACATTTAAATAAATATATTTAAATAAATGTTCCTATAAATAAGCCATATAGCTCTGGCAGAGAATATTTTAAAAATTGGGAGGTGAGGAGGATGAAAAGCTCCCATCATGCCATGAAAACAGACTAATTTCCTCACTGTCCTCTCACTGTATTTTTCCTCATGCCGTATTCCCCCATTTAAAACTTCCTATCCTGCCGGGTGCGGTGGCTCATGCCTATAATTCCAGCACTTTGGGAGGCAGAGGCAAGAGGATTGCCTGAGCCCAGGGGTTTGAGACCAGCCTGAGCAATATGGTGAGTCCTCGTCTCTACAATAAATAAATAAATAAAAATCAGTTGAGCCTTGTGGCGCACGCCTGTGGTTCAAGCTACTTGGAAGACTGAGGCGGAAGGTTCACCTGAGCCCAGCAGGTGGAGGCTGCGGTGGTCATGAGTGTGCCACTGCACTCCAGCCTGGGCGACAGAGACTACAACTCAAAAAAAAATTTTTTTCCTGACCCTTTACTCCACTTAGCCACCTGCCAAACGTCAAGCATTCTTTTAACATTCAGCCCAATTTTTTCCAACATTCTACAAAAGGTTATCCCCAGGGTTTCCCAATCACAGTGATCAATCTTCTGGTATCCCACTTGATTACCAAGAGTGTATACTACACATTTCATATTCACTGTCTTGTACAGTGCCTGACATATGGCAAGCACTTAATGTCTACTGAATAAATGAACCTATTGAATAAATCAATTATCCTCCACATATGTCATGAAAAGTCAATTATCCTATAGCTATATCATAAAAACTCAAGTAGCATAAGTAGAGAATCGATATATAAGTTAAATAGTCTTGGGTTCAAGTCCTTGTTTTGTAATTATCTAGCTGAATAACCTGGGCAATTCACTTTACTGTTTGTTCTTAGCCAGTTCACTCCCTGGTAAAAAGAACATGCCACCAGGTAATGCCTATCTTGTGTGCATATCATGAATATTAAGTGAAAGTTAACAAAAAAAACTGATATGAGATCTATTAGTACTTAATGTTTCCCAAGTGCAAGAGGGTAAATTTAATTATAACTAAATGACATCATTTAACTCCATTTGTTTTACACCAAGAAATATAAAAATGAAAAACTTTATAAAAGAAAAATAAACACTGTGATGAAAAAATCACCTGGTCAGGGAAAAGATCATAGTCTCAGTTTCATCACTGGTCAGATTTGTGACAGTAGGCAAGTCAGGTAAACTTTCTAGTCACATCTATCTTAGCAGTACTGCAAAGACACAGGTCAAACTTCTTCTTCTTCTTCTTCTTCTTTTTTAAGCTTTCAAACAAAGTTTACTAGCAAGAAAAGAAAGAAGAAGGAAGAAGAAAGATTCATGGCAGAAAGACCTGCTATGGGCAAGTTTTCCAAAGAAGAAAAACCACCAGGTCAAACTTCTTATTGTAGACAAGGTTAAATAAAGGAATTTCATTTTACTTCTACTAATAACATCAACTGACACAGACAAAAATAATTCCAAGAAAAGCCTACTTTTTCTATCAAAAAGGCAGGAAAACAGCCCAACAGGACAGAGATCTTTTAGTCTTTCTATCTCTCTGTTCCAAAGGCAAATACCATGAAAAAAAGACGTGGCCTTCCTCAGTCCTAAAAGATGCTGCAGCAGTGGGGAGGACACTTTCACTCTACCTATGAAGTAATAAGCTGAGTCTGTGAGCTGAATTGTGACTTCCACTCCTGTGCTATAGAACAAGACTCTCTGAAGAAGTTAGGGGGTAGCTTAGGATGCCTGCCCCTCTCATACAGTAATGAAGAGATGTACTTCATACACCATGGAGCAAATGTAGGCAGATCTGTGACTTCCATCCCTGCATAATAAGGAACAGGCTACTCTACCTAGCAGGGTCCTGTCTTCTGTCCCATAGTGCTTCTTCCCAGCCTGCACTGATGAGAATGTGGGGTAGATTCCGGTGAGGGTGGGTATTACAAAGTGTGTTAAACCAAAAAGCACCAAAGAGTCTTTCTAACCTAAATTGACATTTAAATCACTGCTCACAAAAGTGAGCATCAGAATCTAAACGGAATAGTTGTCAAAATACAAGACTTATGTCATATCCAGAGAAAGTCTTATAGTACACAAAATGTCCAGGATACAGTCCAAAATTACTCACCTTATCAAGAACTAGGAAAATCTCAATTTGAATGAGTTGACACCAACACTGAGAGGACACAGACATTGGAATTATAGAATAACTAAAGATTTTACACGAGCTGTTACAGAAATGGTCCAAGAAATAATTATAAACATTTGAAACAGACAAAGAATTAGGAAATCTCAGCAAAAAAATAGAAACTATAAAGAAAAAACAAATGTAAATTTAAGAACTGAAAACTGCAATAGCATACATGAAGAAAACTCAATAAAATAGCACAAGAGCAGACTAGTAATGACAGAAGAATCAGTGAAATTGAAGACACAGGTCAGTAGAAAGTATCTATTCTGAGTAACACAGATAAAATAGATTACAAACAACAAAAATAGAGCCTCAGGGAACTGTGGTACGTCAAGAGACATAACATTTGTGTCATCAATGAAACAGAGTAAAAAAAAAAAAAAGTGGAGTTGAAAAACTATTTGAAGAAAGAATGACTGAAACTCACCAAACCTGCAAAAGACCAACCTACAGCAAGAACCCAAACAGAATGAACCCAAAGGCAACAAACAGTACCACGACCTGTCGTAATCAGAATCAGAGCTCTGAAAATGAAAAACAAAATTTATTGAAAACAAGCAGAGAGGAAAAAGGGGAATAACAATCCAAATTACAGCAGATTTCTTATAACGAAGTAGCACAAAATTTTTAATTGTTGAATGAAATATATTGTCCATCTAGAATCCTATCTCCAGTGGAAATATACTCCAGAAATGAAAGTAAGATAAAGACATTTTTAGGTAAAGAAAAGCTGAGAGGTTTTGGGGTTTTTTTTTTTTTGTTTTTTTTGTTTGCCAGCACACTTGTTCTTAAAGAATGGCTAAAGGAAGCATTTCAGATCAGTAAGGAGATTACAAACTTGGAACATCAGGAATGAGGAAAGAGCAATGGAGAGGGTAAATAAATGGGTAAATACAATAGACTAAACTTCTCTTGAGTTTTCTTTTGATGTTTAAAAGCAAAATGAAAATATTATCTGATGTAGTTCTCAATGTATGTAGAGATAATATTTAAGACAATTTTATTATTAAATGGAGACGGTAAAGGAACCTAAATGGCTGTAAGGTATCTATATTTCACTTGAACTGGTAAGATGTTGACACTAGTAGACTAAAATAAACATATTGTAATCCTTGGAGCAATCACTCCTAAAACAATACAGAGATAGCTCCAAAACACTATAAATAAATAATAATGGAATTATTCTAAAAAATTTCAAGTAGCTTACAGGAAAGGGGAAACAGAAAAATTTTTTAAATAGAAAAATAAAATAAATAATAAAATGGTAGACTTGCGTCCTAATATATCAATAATTACATTAAATGTAAATGGTCTACATTCACCAATGAAAAGACAGGGATTGGCAGAATGAAAAAAAAAAATGACCCAAATATATACCGCAAGAAAGATGATATTTTGAAATGGTATGTCAAATATAATGATATAAGTAGGTTAAAAGTAAAAGGATGAACATAGGCCATGCACATACTAATCAGGAGACAGCTGGTATTGCTGTATTATATCAGAAAAAGTTCAGCAAAGAAGATTATGAGAAATATTTAACAGGGATATTTCATGATAAAAGGGTCAATTCACCAGGAAAATATGACAATCTTAAATGTGTATACACAAAACAACAGAGCTTCCAAATACATGACAGAAACACCATGAGGACTTCATGGAGAATCAGATAAATTCACAATTGTAGTTGAAAACGTCAGTATATGTCTCTTAATAATTGATAGTCAGTAGACAGGAAGTCAGCAGGACACAAGAAATAAACACCACCATCCAATAAGATCTCATTGATATTTATAAAACACTCCACACACATCAACCGTCAAATACACATTTTTTTTTTTTTTTCAAATGCATCAAGAAGCCCCAAGTGTCTCAATAAGGAGTCTGAACACTGTTTGGGAGGACGTGGGAGGCACTGAGAAAATTTAAGCAGAGGAAGGACATCTCTAAACCGTTGCTTGAGTGCAAATGAGTTGCAGGGGAGAAAGCTGAGGAGAAAAGCTCAGTTAGTGTGGTAGCAGTAGCAATCAAGTTGAGATATGCTGAGGATTTAGGTAGCATTATCACAATCTTACCTGTGGGAAATGAAGCTACCAAGAAAGAAAGTACACTTTAAGGATAATAATATAAAAGAGAACAAAGTAATCATATTCTAGATAAGATGTTCCAATAATGTTTAACAAGATATCAGGCAATTAAACGAGTTAAGGAACATGCCTAGTACTCTTAAGTAGTCAACATTTAATAACGTCCCATCCCCTGGAAGGGCAGGTGACATGTCAGTTGATGGGTAAGGGGAAAAAAGTCTCAAATCTGAGTTTACCGGAACACAACCAATAACCTCAGAGCCGCCCATTTTCTCCCCCTGCCCCCCATCTTCGGAACGTGGCCCATCCTGCAGCGCAGGGAGCGGGGTCAAAACCCGGCCAGGCACCTTCGCCCACTCCTACCCGCTGAATTGTCAGGTGCGACTGCTCGAAGTCCAAATGCAAGATGTTGCCAAGGAAGGGCAGGCGCCAGGGCCCCGGCGGGTAGTTTTTTGGTCGCCGCCTTTTGAAAAAGTCAGCAAAGAACAGAAAGGCGACGGTGCCCAGCAGGAGGGTCCGGACGTGGACGGCGGCCCAGAGGGCGGCTGCCAGGGAGCCCACCGCCTCGAGCATGGCTGGGACGTCCGCTCGCTCTGGCGTGCTCCGAGCAGGCGACTGTCCGCGCCTGTGGA